TTAACTCCCAGTTTTCTAGAGTTCGGTTTTGGGCAAGCAATTGAGCATATTTCCTTTTGTTCCTAATTGCCACTTTCCATTCTTCCGTCACATATGCTGCATCTTTCTGTCTAACTCTCATCTTCATTTTTGGCACATGTTTGTCCAGTACACTTTCAAAAATGGTTTCCATACCATCGCCAGAAATCAAGGACAATTCGAGCCCGCTAACAATTATCAGCGGTATATCGTAGCCTCTCCAGGTTCAGACCATCTGTAATAATAAATATCTGTTTTTTGGAGGGAAGCCCACATGCAAATGTCATTCAGTTCCTCCCCTACACGTTCTAAGTAATGTGGGTCTGGTTGGTGATCCGACTGCTTCGGGGGTCAGTATATCCCGAGGAAAATGACTTCGTTGTTGCCAAGTCTAGCTTCTACTGCAATAATCTCGAGTGTTTTGTATTTCTTCTTTACTTTCAGCTCCTTCGAGGGTAGTCTAGAATCAAAATAGGCTATTATCCCACCGCCTCCTTTCTTTCTGTCTGTTCGATAAATGTTGTAACCCGTTAAGGTGAACTAGCTGTTCTAATAGGACTTGTCGATCTTTGTCTCTGAGAGAAAAATAATTTGCGACTTCATCTCATCATTTAGGAGTTTCAGTTCATCTAATTTATTTTGGAGGCTGTTGAAGTTCAGATGGAACATTAGTATCCGATTGGAATGTTCCGGCCTTTCTTGCAAGAACAGATCAAATTCCTGTTGGCCGCAGTTGTTAATTGCCGTATTCTCCTGGGAGTGAAATTGTGTGTTATTCATCTCATTTGCATTAGGTTGTAGGAGAAGCTGATTTGCATAGTTTCCTTCGGTACTTATTGTTTCTTCATCCTCAAGAAAAAACGAGTCCCCTATAATCTCGGAAGAAAACATAGCGGATAATTCCATTCGATTGCTGGTCGTTCAAGAAAATATTCAAAAGTCGATGTCGACTTACATGAATCCATGGAGTTGGGAATCTATGTGTAGTGTTTGTTCCTATTTGGATAAATACCTTAGCTGTTATATAATCTTTATTCTATTGGTTAGCACACCTTTGACCGCAGTCACGTTATTATGCTTATAGATCATTGTGTGTAATTAAATTCATGGCATTCTAATAAAGCAGTTGTGTAGAGCACTTGGTCTGTACACGCTTTACTCTATAGTAGTATATAACGAACCCTAATACACAACATTATGTTTCAACGAAAAAGCATTTTTGGCTGCCGTTTACCGTTACTGGTGGCAGATTTATCTTTCAGGAGAGATCAGACTGATTTTAAAACTCCTAAACTAGTTTGGTTTTATATCCATTTGGTGTTGGTTTGGGAACTTTTTAACCCCCCAAAGAAATTTGTACCTTACCATATATACATGGAGCATTTCAGAAGGTTTAAAAGGTTATGCCCCTGTTTCTGATTGGAGGAATTAGTCCTTTTTGTTTCTTTCAATCTGCTTTTATAAGGCCATTATTATAAAAATTGGCAGCTGCATATTTCTGTCTAATAAAATCTCTAGTTTTATTCTCTACTCCTCTAGTTTCAATCTTCTTGAAAGGCACAATACAGTTCATGTAGAACTCCACTAACTCAAACTTCCAAGGGAAACAAAAAATGGTTGGAGTTAGCAGGGGCGTGAGTTAGCTGATCGTGAGTGGGTCAAGGGAAATTGGATCTTGTTTAAGTTACTGGGGGGGTTAGAGTTACCTAAGTTCAAGCAGACAGGTAATGAAAATTAAGAAAATTATTAATTAGGAGGTAAGGTCTTGATATAACACTAAATTCTCAGGTAAAGCCAACAAAGAAATGTATAGTACTCGCTTAGGAGAATTAGCTTTCAGGTCTTGGAAGTAATAGGGTTAAAGAAAGTGGTTTTTTTAGTGACGTCACGCGTATCGCGCGAGTGTGGGACGGCGAAGACACAAAGGCGGTCGCCCGGGAAAGAAAAAATAATTTTTAATTAAAAGGACAAAGGTTTCTTACTTGGGCTGACGCCGTCGTGTGTCGCGGCTTCACCGCTCCATACTTGCTAGATACGCACGATCGCAATAAATCTCCACTACCTTTAAGAAAAATAGGAGACTGTTCACAGTCTAATCTGAGACAATGATAGCGGAGCTCACAGAGCGTAGCCCCATAATTATACAAAATAGTAGTAACCCATCAAGCCGAAAAAATTTGGTTGTACGACCTTACGACCGTACAAGGTGCTACTTTTAACATGCGTGGTCAACTGTACCGCGGGCTTACGCCACGGCTTTGTCCAGTAGTCCAGTTGTCAGTGCACTGGGCTCCGAGTCGGACGACCCGGGTTCTAGTCCTGGCCGGGGCAAGGCGTTGTGCCCTTGAGACGTGCGGGAAAAAAAAATGCGAGCTCCGCTTTTAGGCTTGGCTAAATCTATGTATTAACAGCTGTTAAAAAGCAAAGCTGACTTCAAGGCCGGGGCAAAATGTTTTTCTAATATTTCGTTAGGCATGACCTAAGTTCTTCAGGGAACTGTTTTAAATTGTTACGTTTTGATCTTGTCAAGTGAAGTCAATAATTCCCTAAAGAAGTTATGGCTTGCCTAACGAAAAATTGGAAATACATTTTGTCCCCGCCATAAAGTCAGCTTTTTTTAAATTTCCATTAAGGTTTGAATTAACATTCGCCATGAAGACTTTGGTGCATGCGTACAGAATACAGAAAAAAAAACAGTTTTTCAATTAAAGAAAAAGATTTGTCTGGCTGATTTGGTTCATAGTAGCACTGTAGAGTTTAGTCGATTATCATCATTTCTTGGCATGGGAAAGCTTATAGAACCCTCCAAATATGTGTTCCTTTGGAAGATCGATTAAGTTGCATTTCCTAGTTTCAACTTCATCCTCAGTCACACCTTTACAGTTAATGTTCTTTTTGCTTCCGGTTCATTATCCTGTGGTATGATACCCTGAAATAGGCAGTGGAAATATACATAAATTAAAAAGAAATTAATGGTACAGATATTTCAAAATGAGTTTGACCAAATAAAAAAAAAGGCCTTTAAACCAACATCTTGTGGACATTCTTAATATTTAAAGTTTTAAATGTGCACATCAATGAACATCACTGTTTGTCAGAGACGGGAATTTTTTTAAAGATATTCAAAATATGTGTTTCCAGTCGCTTTCCTGATAATTGTTTTCCCAACAGTCGCGCTGGTGTTTGCGCATCATGTTTCATCGAAGGTATAGCGACAAGAAATTAATTATACCGACATTGCAAAGTCAGCACTATCTCGAAGTATTCTTGAAAACAGAAAGAAGCCTTGAAAAACATCTCTGTGAATACCCTAATATGCAGAGTTTCAGATGAGCATACAAAAAAGAACCTTTGTTTAAACACAGTAGTATTTAAAGGTTGTAGCCTGTGGCGCCGTGTATGGAAATAAACATTTCAATTAAACATAACATAACTGGAAGGAGGTGACCACAAATGAGCTCCAAACTTAAACTGATATCAGTGTGCCCTTTGCTGTGATGAACTGGCGAAAGAGATTGCGGCAGTGACAACATTTCAACTAAAGGCTTTAGTCGTTCAGGTTAGTGTCGGGATTAATAACACGGTTTGTTTTGCACTGTAATAACGTTAGGGTAATCACTTTCACAATATATGCTTCACGGTTTGATTTGGTCGGGGTATTGAATGGAACATATGTTATTCCGTGTAATAGTGGTAAGTAAGTAACTTTATTTAGCCAGGTCAGGGTAGCCCATTCAGCTACGTGGCTGCTCCAATTGATTATCGTTTTCCCCTCTTAATTAATATATGAATTAAAAGGGCGAACGGTTTGGCACCTTGCTTGAAGCCTCGTTGTTTTTCAGGGATAAGTGCACTGCTGGAGTTTATGATAACATGTCGTGATAGCATTAATGTAAGTATACCGTTTCAGTTTGCGACTTTTCACGCTACGTGGTTCGACTTCCTGTCGTTGGTCCAGTGAATATACGTCATCAGTTTCCGGATATATTGATCCAATATTGATAACTGTTTCCACTCCTTAAATGTAAATGCGGAAACGTTTGAGCACCTCGATTGAATCCTCGTTGTTTTTCAGGGATAAGTTGACTGCTGGATTCACATCATAAAAAGGTACCCTGCAAATCATTGCCTACGCTTTCTTCATATTTTAGTGTATTAGAGCCAACAAGTGAATTTATCTGGACATTGCTTTGATTGAGTCATCGTTCCTCACCGGCTGGTTACACCGTAAAGTTAGCAGGTTTTGGCATGTTTATTTCTTTTTAATATTGTTGAGAATTTGTATACTGTGTATGCTTTTATTCGACTCAAACTTAAGTCAAGAAAATCCACTCAATCTTCGTTTGATTTCAAATCAGAAATCGGCAGATTTTGACTGAACATTCCGTAAAAGTTAGGCCGTTCCTTTTTCTTTTCACCACAGGTAAATGTAACTTCATTTATTCTTTATGCGCAAAAGTATTTTTTGTACATATTTGTGGCATATTCTATGGTTCCCAAGGACAAACGCAATCACTGCTTTTCAAGTTAGTACGTAATTTGAGACCGGCTTTTCGAAAAGGTCAAATTTGATGTACGTCGTAGCCTAAGTAAAAGCAAATTAACTAATCGCGATTGTTGCATGGTAAATCAACTATCTTGATCATTGAATGAAGGGCGGTTGAATTAGAGCAATGAAAAGAGTCACTTGATCAATGAATAACTCTACAGTGCACACGGCGACGCGCCAGGTAAGTAAAGGGCAGTCCATCGTTAGAAGGTTTTGATAGGCCTATGTGAGCCCTGCAATTTGCTTCCGCTTTTAAATCTGCTGACATGAAAGTATACCGTTTCAGTTTGCGACTTTTCACGCTACGTGGTTCGACTTCCTGTCGTTGGTCCAGTGAATATATGTCATCAGTTTCCTGATATATTGATCCAATATTGTTAACTGTTTCCACTCCTTAAATGTAAATGCGGAAACGTTTGAGCACCTCGATTGAATCCTCGTTGTTTTTCAGGGATAAGTTGACTGCTGGATTCACATCATAAAAAGGTACCCTGCAAATCATTGCCTACGCTTTCTTCATAGTTTAGTGTATTAGAGCCAACAAGTGAATTTATCTGGACATTGCTTTGATTGAGTCATCGTTCCTCACCGGCTGGTTACACCGTAAAGTTAGCAGGTTTTGGCATGTTTATTTCTTTTTAATATTGTTGAGAATTTGTATACTATGTATGCTCTTTTTCGACTCAAACTTAAGTCAAGAAAATCCACTCAATCTTCGTTTGATTTCAAATCAGAAATCGGCAGATTTTGACTGAACATTCCGTAAAAGTTAGGCCGTTCCTTTTTCTTTTCACCACAGGTAAATGTAACTTCATTAATTATTTATGCGCAAAAGTATTTTTTGTACATATTTGTGGCGTATTCTATGGTTCCCAAGGACAAACGCAATCACTGCTTTTTAGTACGTAATTTGAGACCGGCTTTTCGAAAAGGTCAAATTTGATGTACGTCGTAGCCTAAGTAAAAGCAAATTAACTAATCGCGATTGTTGCATGGTAAATCAACTATCTTGATCATTGAATGAAGGGCGGTTGAATTAGAGCAATGAAAAGAGTCACTTGATCAATGAATAACTCTACAGTGCACACGGCGACGCGCCAGGTAAGTAAAGGGCAGTCCATCGTTAGAAGGTTTTGATAGGCCTATGTGAGCCCTGCAATTTGCTTCCGCTTTTAAATCTGCTGACATGAAAGTATACCGTTTCAGTTTGCGACTTTTCACGCTACGTGGTTCGACTTCCTGTCGTTGGTCCAGTGAATATATGTCATCAGTTTCCTGATATATTGATCCAATATTGTTAACTGTTTCCACTCCTTAAATGTAAATGCGGAAACGTTTGAAACGTTTTTCGACTCAAACTTAAGTCAAGAAAATCCACTCAATCTTCGTTTGATTTCAAATCAGAAATCGGCAGATTTTGACTGAACATTCCGTAAAAGTTAGGCCGTTCCTTTTTCTTTTCACCACAGGTAAATGTAACTTCATTTATTCTTTATGCGCAAAAGTATTTTTTGTACATATTTGTGGCATATTCTATGGTTCTCAAGGACAAACGCAATCACTGCTTTTTAGTACGTAATTTGAGACCGGTTTTTCGAAAAGGTCAAGTTTGATGTACGTCGTAGCCTAAGTAAAAGCAAATTAACTAATCGCGATTGTTGTATGGTAAATCTCCTATCTTGATCATTGAATGAAGGGCGGTTGAATTAGAGCAATGAAAAGAGTCACTTGATCAATGAATAACTCTACAGTGCACACGGCGACACGCCGGGTAAGTAAAAGGCAGTCCATCGTTATGCGGGTATCAGCGGCCATCCCGAGGGGTCGACCCCGGGCACCCAGGGGCATTTGTCACAGCTGCCGTGACAAATACATGCTAAAGCCCCTCGGGTAGGGCAAAAAATTGGGACAAATACCCCCACCCCTGGAGCAACCTGGGCAACATATAGTCGGTGTTGCCTGTTCCTCGATGCAAAAGTACGAGTGATCATGGTTTACTGAAGCCACATCAGTACTAAAATCCACACAAGTCTCTATGGAGTCCTCAAATTCGAGCTTTCTGGGGCAAACTTTCTTGGCTTGCGGTTGTTCATCACACTGTCTCTTCCTACCGGCAAGACGCTTCGAATGCGAACTAACCGTATGAAATTGAAATCTCGATGTCGCTTTCCTTAAAATGCAATGAACAGATTCTTGGATCGCCGAGTGTCTTGAATTTTTTATCCGCTCGCTTACAGAAAACCTCCCACTTCTTACGCTCATTGGGCCTTGTAGGAAAGCAAAAATAACAGCAGATTACGTGCAAATCCCGTGGGTATGGCCCCGGGGTATTTTGCCAAAAACGCAAAAGCGCTCTAATGCCCCGCGTGCGGGGCATGCCTTTGCTACAAATCCCCTGCTAAGCCCGTGGGTTGCCCTTGGGTTGCCCGGGGGTCGACCCCTCGGGATGGCCGCTGATACCCGCATTAGAAGGTTTTAATAGGCCTATGTGACCCCTGCAATTCGCTTGCGCTTTTAAATCTGCTGACATGAAAGCTTAGCTGTTATTGGAATATATTTTAATGACTGATAAGGGTTAGATTTAAGGTGTCATTTCGCAATCTGTATGTTCTTGAGGTTTGACAAAGCCGGATGAGATTGTGTTGCAAAAGGTAATATTTTCATGTGTGCGCGCCATTTTTTTGTTTTCAAGGTTACTGTCTCTCCCGCAGAAAATAACTCCAGGGATACGTTTCTCAAAACCTTATCTAAAAACAGAGGTATGCCTAGCATTAAGGTCGAGATTTATCAGGATATGAATGTTACGCATTTAAAATTTTTAAATTAAAACGTGTCTTTTCCGCTCCTTTACTCACAATGCACACGCGAAATAACTTAAATTTCATCACGTAACATGAAAACAATGCGTAAAGTCCAATCACAACATACCTAATTATTGCCTCACATGAACACTAGACAATTTTTCACGTGCTTGAATTGTATTCCATCAATCAAATTCCATTTTGCCATATTGGACTTCCCTCTATTGCGTGTCATTTTCTTGTAAATAACTTGCATTTTATTACGTGTTTTAGCTGCATTGTCCAAACCCACCGAAAAAAATTCACGTGGAACTAGATGCTACTGAAATTGGGTTTTCCACGCAGTTCTCCCACGTTTGACTTTCTCTACGAATTTAAGTCACTTTAAGCTACCTTGGACTTTACCCAATTGCGTGTTCATTCCTTGTAAAACAACCTGCATTTTTTCACGCATTTCATGCACAGCGGGTAGAGTCCAGATAGGCAACAACCAACTAAGGAGCCCTCTTTGGAATATTATCCTTTCTTTTGTTCAATGTATCTTCACTTATTCGAGATCGCAATATATCTTTGGTAAGGGTCTATCAGAGGTACAACAGAGTTTCAGTTTGCTTTTCGTAGTAAAATTACGCGGAATTATATTTTTGAGGTAACTAACTGTTGACGAATAATTTTGATTTTTACAACAGCTTACTGTACTGTACTTACTGTACTTACTTTTACAACAGTTATTACTTTTACAACAGTTATTTGGTCTCGTCACGCAACGCACTCTCTCTCAAATGGGAAATAGAGGGCGTTGTGTGACGAGACCAAACAACGGCTGCGAAGGAGACAAAAGTAAGTGCGGTACCGATGCATTTCATTTTAACTTAGAAGTATTTGGACAATAGAGACAGTAGATCACGTAATATCTGTGTGAGTTCAGATAAATTAGGTTTTTTTCTGTCTTTCTGCGATATTTTCGTTTTTTGAAGGTTATGCTCTTTCGGTGACAAAAATGAAAACATTAAGTACATAAACTGTCCCATCTCAACCCACCCAGCCAAAACAAAAAAAATAATAACTCTTGCATGCTACGCATGCCTATGTTTTATTAAACTTTTGGTCTTTGGAAGCGGCAAGGCTGCATTTTTTACTCTTTCTGAATCTCCGCAGTTGCCCCATAAAAACGAATTTGTCACGGAGGAATAACAGGAATCGCGCAGGGCCGCAAACACATTTTAACTTTTGAAGGAAGGGCAACTGAGTCAGTGTATCCCCATTACATTCCACGTTCATTCACACTATCTTGCTTTGAAAATGACCTACTTTTCGTTTTACGACCATGATGCAACGCAACCAGAGTGCGCACTCAGCCTGATTTCAAATTAACATGGTATCTCGCTTGTATCATTTGTAGCAGTAAATACAACATATTTTGGAGACGAGAGATGTTGATGTCAACCGTTATCTACAAATAAATTTCATATGACTCCAAGAGCGGCATATTTATTGTAACAAAAAAGTTAGTCTGTCCATTACCTTAGTTTGGTTAACTAATTGCTACTGTTGTCTTAAGTTCCACAATTTCACTGTTTCCTTGTTACCCGGTGTCTCCGCGCATCGAACGTTCGGTTTTCGAACAAAATCGAACTCAAATCGTTCGATTTTGATCGATTGTGTTCGGAAATCGAACTCACAAAAAAAGGTTTGTGTTCGATTTCGTTCGATGATAGAACAATATCGCACTCAATCGTTCGATTGAGTTCGATCGAGTTCGATTAAGTTAGATTAAGTTCGATTAAGTTCGATCAAGTTCGATTAAGTTCGATTAAGTTCGATCAAGTTCGATTAAGTTCGATTAAGTTCGATTAAGTTCGATTAAGTTCGATTAAGTTCGATTAAGTTCGATGTTTACTTCCTCGCAAATCACTTACAAACGTGACTTTTTCCGTTTTCTTGTCAAAAGTTTGATCGGTCTGCCATTTTTTTTCTGTGCACGCCGACATCCCCATTAGAGCAGAATAATAACTTTTTAAATTTATGACCATTTCTTTGGGTTGTGAGCGGTCATCAGAGTTTAAAAATACCGATGTCTCAGCCCCCGTCCACTCGTGTATCCGTTTTCGTATGAGAACGCAAAATATTTTCATTTTTGACTTCCGCGATATATCGGATTAAAACGGTTACCAAAAACGCAAATTTTTGAGAACGTTTTCCAAACTGGACATTTTTGGTTTCTCGTACGTACACCTGAAAACGGAACGACATACGGAGGTTAATTCACTTTGTATGTGAGCGCTTCAGTGTTCAACATGGCGTACTCCATACATTCGAAACTAAAACACAGACTTACACTCTAACTTTGTGTCATCCGCTCGTGTTCTGCTTCAAATTATTCTAACTTCATGGATCGAAAGCGTTTAAAATCCTGGAGGCCTTAGGAGTCCTTCGTATCTCGAAGATTGTAGTGGTCTTAAATTGTCTAATTTACATAAAAGGAACCCAAAGCCCTCGCATTTTAGAGACATAAGGAAAACAAAGATGGCTATTGAGAACATTCTCGGAATTTCACGCATCGAAGGTCAAAAACAAAGAGTGCATTATATAGTGACCGATTTCGTTGAATCTTTGAAACATAACCCAGCAATGAAATGAAACGTCATTAAATACTTATATCCACTTGACTTACCATTTTCAACGGTTTCCGTTGGATAATCCAACAGATATTCCTACGGTAAAATGGCGCGAAACACCGCATTCAGCGCTATTTTCGTGAATAAATCAGATAAGGAAAAATGGAAAGATAGTAACCCTCCCCTTGATGCTAATATTTGGCGAGTGGTCATTTTTTGTCAGGCTTTTTTAGATCGATCATCAGATCCCACAATTTCACAAACTTGGTCATTTGTGAAGTCACACTTATTACTTTGTTCCTTTGTTCGTTATGGCTTTACGTTAGTTTTTCCACTGTTTTGATAGATAAAGCTTTAATTAGAATAAAATAAAGAACCTTACATAATATACTTTCTTGACGCTGTGAAAGATCATTTTTAAAGTAAAGCGCCATGCAGCATCTCCATGTCTATAGGGACTTCCCCTTTGGGAACATGGCTGGAGGTGTCTTGCAAAACTATGTGATTCCATCTAGCTAACCCTCACTAAATTATTCATTTGAGGGGCTGTGAGGAATAAACGTTAATAAGATTTTAACCATGTCAGTGTTTTCTAATGTAGAATGCCAAGCTTTGAATTTGGTGAAGTTCCTGCTGGAAGTGATGTTACACACCTTGTTAGAACTCTAGAAGCAGTGCACCGAAACCCCGCATCTCTGCGAGCCATAGAAGAGGCCAAAACATCCTGCGTACAGTGGGGAGGAGTCTTGCAACAGCTAATACCAGATGCCCAGCCGTTTTTTGTCCGCAAACCTAACATCAATATAGGACCCGAAGATTTCAACAGGATTGCTGAAGAATTACGCAAAGGTAATGCTGTGCTTGTTAGCGTGAAGTTCCCAGGGAGCACTAATCATGTATTTGCAATTGAAGCTCGTGAAAATGAAACAGCACGTATATTACATGCCTGGCAGGGCAAACATCAGTTGAGAGTGGAAAGAACAATGCCAGTTGATGAGATGGTTGGCTATTTGAAACGTCTTCCCGAGTTAGACTGGGCAACTAACAAACCTGAGTTGCAGAACATCCGTCATCAGCTATGGGGTGCAGACCATGCTGAGGTTCCAGATATTGAAACAAGTCCAAGAAGAAGAATTAGCTATGAAATGCTAATCAAAGGTAAATCTTTCTTTTTTTGAAAATGGAATGGAATATCGTGCACTCTATGTACACTATAGAGGGAGAATATTTTTCGTAAATGAAATGCCTCTTCTGGAGACCAGTTCTGCTATTTGTTTATAATGTTAACAAGAATGGATTTCATCCTATCAGCAGTAGCTAGTTTCAATCGAAAAATAAGATTTTTAAGTGATACAACACTCTATCCATTTGAGTATATATAAAGTGATTGCCACTTCTTAGGGTAATCGACAGAAGACCTTTTTGGCAGGCTGTATTGATGGCGTTGACAAAAATTGGGATGAGATCATTCTAGAATACCATGTGAAATTCTACCGGTAGACCATCGGTTAACGGCGATTTTCCAGGTTGTATTTGATTCATGGCTCTTAAGCATTCATCTTCGCCCCTAAGACCCTCACTGATATATTTTTCATTCTCAGTTATCTTATTGTCTCTTGCATAAAAAATAAAGGTTCTGTTGTGGACTCGAATTTTTTGTGGTAAAAAGTTTCTTAATTGTAGAAGTTCTTGTATTTCAAAAGTATCTCACGATAGCTTGTAAGTTTCTTCTTGTTATAATTTTTTTTTCTACAAAAAACTGTATTTTTTTGCAGTGTCTTTTCTCCTTATTTAGACACTAGTTTCTTTTTGTCTCATCGTGCTTGTAAAAGCATGCTTCTGATTTAATTATGGCTCCCCATCTTGTGCATGCAATTAAATGTTCAAGTTAGTCCCTTTTGGATTCTTATAGGACATTTTCACGATGGTGTCATTTGACTACAGCCACCAGGATTCATTTCGTTTTGGCTTTCTTATTCAATTTTGTATGCCCTGTGAGGAGTAAATAACAATAGCTTCAATAAGCATGAGAAAAGCAAAATATGAAGGATTCTGATAGTCGTAGTCAAATTACGACATTGTGAAAATGCTCTATTGTTTCTTAGTTCATCTTTATTAATAGACTGGCTTTCATCGGAAGCGATTTGTTTTTACGAGGCAAGAATATTAATTCCCACTCTGGTTCTTTTCTTTTTTGATTAAAGGTAAACCTGATCGACCGTTAGCTTCCCCTGAAAATAGAGAAAGACTGACCAGTCTCTGCAGTGAGTTGTCCGAGTGGCAGTCTGCCAGGTCCTCAACCAGTGGTGTATCAGAATGGCGTTCAGCATCTAGTAGGCCTTCGCAAATTGAAGGCCAGCAAGCTCAAGGTCGTGGAGGTATTAGTATACGAATGGATGCCGGCGTAGGTGCTGGTCTTGGCTTTGTGTTTGGAGCTGGCAGAGTCTTGCTTGTCGGGCTTATAGAAGGAGAGAGGGTTGATTATGTTGAGGTAGGCTTAGCGGTCCTAAAAAGTGGGCTTGCTAGGGGTTTAGGCCGTGGTGCAGGAGCAGCTGTTGCGAGGGTCGCTGCTCCAACATTTGCAAGGATTGGAGTCTCTGTAGTTCGCTCGAATGCCGTTGCCGGGGTTACTATGTTTGGTGTCTTTGCTATTTGGGATGTGGTTGAATGGAAAATGAATAAAATTACGGAAGTGCAACTGCGCAAACGTCTTGCTAAAGGTGCTGGAGGAGCCGCTGGGGGCATTGCAGGTGGCGTTGCCTTAGGAGTGGCTGGGGGTGTTTGGTTGGGCCCAATTGGTGCATTAGGAGGTGGACTGATCGGTGGCATTGCTGGTGGCATTGCTGGTGCATTTGCTGGTAGGGCAATTGATGGAGCGATTTGGGATGAGAGTGAAGATGCTGTTATGAACAGCTACGAATATTTCGGGTGGCGCGGTGTAAAGAGGAATACGCGGCCCACAAAATCTGCTGATGAAATCGGGAAAGCCTATGACAGAAAGCTCGGAGAAAAGCCTGAAAAGGTCGGTGAAGAAGACTGGCACAAATTTTGTCTGGGAAATCTCATGGTTCTTCTTCCCGCAATGTACCCAGAGTTTAAGAAAATGATGCAGTTCGCAGTTGAGCTCCAGAAAGAGAAAAGCAGTGGTTTGTCAGCCATTGGAACAGCCTTCTATGAATACCTCTCTTCAGAATAGATGTATTCGTTGTTACCTCGATAAGTGTAGGTTTGCCACAACAACCGTACGTTTTTGACTTTTAGACTCTCATTAAAAGTGAAAATGGACAATTTAAATGTATACAATGGCCATTACCAAAACTGTAACTCTCTTAATTTACGCCACGAATATGTTCAGCAGCACAAAAGGTATTCGTTTCTTCCTTTGGTTTGCTCTATGTCGACCGCGGCAGGGTTCGACGTCCTCGCCTCTAATTTACCCGACTACTTGAACAAATCCAACAGGTCACTTTTCGTCCCATTTTCTCTTTTCCTGGGGCGTTCGTTTCCCTTTTTTTCATTCGTCCTTTTGAATGGCACCCCTTTCAGCGTCGGAGTGCAAAAGTTACTTACATCCTCCAAGTTGTTTCCTGTAAATGCATGTCACATCTTCGTTTTATTTCACAAAGTGTGTCGTTATTAGAGTGTACTTTTGTGATGTTGTAATCTGCACCATTTGAACTTTAAACGCACACACCCAATTAATGTTTTTCAATTATCTAGCATGTCTATTTCATCACATTTGACTCGTTTTTGTGGGTCTCTGCTTCCCCTCAGTTACAATTTTGTGTGATTTATATACTACTTTTTATACCATCCAGATTTGGAGTTTTTTTATTTAGTATTCACTTTCTATTTGCTTCAATTTTATAGTTATTTCTTTATATCCATTTCGGCTTTGACAATCGTAGTTTTTCCCATGTCAGTTACTATCCCTCCTCTTACGGCGCCTTGAGGCACCTCTTTCAAAAGGAGGGAATAATATATTAGCACGCAATTTTACATATTTTGATATTTTGGCGTTTTTTTTTTTTATAGTTTTGAGTGTTTTTATATTTAGTTTAAGTACAAGGTTTAATACAATAAACCGGTTAAGTTTCTAGAAACGTGATCTGCATAAAGTTAGAAACTATTCACGTGCTATAACCAGGTTGTCTGTAAACAACGCGCACTGTACGATGCGTCCCATGTTGCAACAGGTTTGGAAAGTTCCCACAAGAAATTTCGTACGTGCTAAAACCTGTCCTTTTGTCGGTTCTGCGCTGGTCTTAATCAACTGGCCAACCTAATTACTGTAACTCTGAAATCGTAAACAGCCTTTCTTCCAGTTTCCAGTTGTTGTTGTTGTTGGGTTTGCGCCTTATCTGGAGCAACAGCCTGGTTTATCTATGCCACTTAGTGCGTGTAATGCAACACCTAAGTCCTTTAAGTAATTATACTGGTATAGAGAGAATATGTTTTCTTGCTGGTATCTAGAGGCGTCCTGACCTATTCGCCAGCGATGCAAGAACTGTTGAAGTACCTAGTATCACTTTTGCAGTGAACAAGAGACACTTTAATTAGTTTGTTTAATTACTTCCTTAGTTTACACGCTGCACTAATAAGCTTTTAACTTTTTGTGATCTGTTTCAGAAACAAGATCATGCTTTGGTAGTTTGGATTATTAGAACTAATCATGTGCGCCACGAGTCAACTGTTAAAGGGCAACGTACGAAGTCCAGTAAACGCAATATTAAGACATTATCAACTTGGTTTCGACAATTCAGTAAATTTGGCGTTTACCTAAACCTTGGGATACAAACAGCGACTTTTCAGAACGCTTTGATGGATTACTATTACAATCCATCAAAGCGTTCTGAAAAGTCGTCACGCTTTGAATAGCAACTACTTTTAGGCAAACACAGCCTTGCATGTGGCTCTGCGCGTTTTATTACAAGCGTAGTTTTAGGTTAAAAACAAGAGCTGTTGCTGATCGCCGAGCCGGTACAGAAGAGACAAACCCTACACTAGACAAGAACACCTTAAAGTCGTCGTGCTTCCGGCAGACAAGCTTTCCCCGGAGAGGGAGTGCCTAATACTTCACACATAAGATATCGTTCAGTATCCTGTCCAAAATTCTACATGGGGTAAAGGTGATAAAATTTCTGTGCTGTGTAGTGAGACAAATAATAATGCTGTGTAATGAGACAAAGAATAGTGCTGTGTAGTGAGACAAAGAATAGTGCTGTGTAGTGAGACAAAGAATAGTGCTGTGTAATGAGACAAAGAAAAGTGCTGTGTGGTGAGACAAAGAAATGTGCTGTGTAGTGAGTCAAAGAATCGTGCTGTGCAGTGAGACAAAGAATAGCGCTGTGTAGTGAGACAAAGAATAGTGCTCTGTAGTGAGACAAAGAATAGTGCTGTACAGTGAGACAAAGAATAGTCCCGTGTAGTGAGACAAAAAATAGTTCTGTGTAGCGAAAGAGAGAATAGTGCTCTGCAGTGAGACAAAGAATATTACTGTGCAGTGAAACAAAGAATACTGATGTATAGTGAAACAAAGAATAGTGCTCTGAAGTGAGAAAAAATGGTGCTGTGTAGTCGGACAAAGAGAAGTGGTGCGTAGTGAGATTATAAGAGAGAGTGATAGACAGTGAGACAAGGAATAGTGCTGTGAAATGACTAGAGAATAGTGCTGCATAGTGAGACAGAATTGTGCTGCATAGTAAGACAAAGAATACTGCTGTGTAGTAAGACAAAAAATAGTGCTGTGTAGTGAGACAAAGAATAGTGCTGTGTAGTGAGACAAAGAATAGTGCTGCGTAGTGGGAAAAAGAAAAGTGTTGTGCAGTGAGACAAGGAATAGTGCTGTGTAGTGAGACAAAGAATAGTGCTGTGTAGTGAGACAAAGAATAGTGCTGTGCAGTGAGACAAAGAATAGTGCTGTGTAGTGAGACAAAGAATAGTGCTGTGTAGGGAGACAAAGAATAGTGCTGAGTAGTGAGACAAAGAATAGTGCTGTGTAGTGAGACAAAGAATAGTGCTGTGTAGTGAGACAAAGAATAGTGCTGTGTAGTGAGACAGAGAATAGTGCTGTGTAGTGAGACAGAGAATAGTGCTGTGTAGTGAGACAAAGAATAGTGCTGTGATGTAGTGAGACAAAGAATAGTTCTGTGCAGTGAGACAAAGAATAGTGCTGTGTAGTGAGACAGAGAATAGTGCTGTGTAGTGAGACAGAGAATAGTGCTGTGTAGTGAGACAAAGAATAGTGCTGTGATGTAGTGAGACAAAGAATAGTGCTGTGATGTAACGAGACAAAGAATAGTGCTGTGATGTAGTGAGACAAAGAATAGTGCTGTGTAGTGAAACAAGGAATAGTGCTGTGCAGTGAGACAAAGAATAGTGCTGTGTAATGAGACAAAGAATAGTGCTGTGTAGTGAGACAGAGAATAGTGCTGTGTAGTGAGACAAAGAATAGTGTTGTGATGTAGTGAGACAAAGAATAGTTCTGTGCATTGAGACAAGGAATAGTGCTGTGTAGTTGGACAGAGAATAGTGCTGTGTAGTGAGACAAAGAATAGTGCTGTGATGTAGTGAGACAAAGAATAGTGCTGTGTAGTGAGACAAAGAATAGTGCTGTGATGTAACGAGACAAAGAATAGTGCTGTGATGTAGTGAGACAAAGAATAGTGCTGTGTAGTGAAACAAGGAATAGTGCTGTGCAGTGAGACAAAGAATAGTGCTGTGTAGTGAGACAAAGAATAGTGCTGTGTAGTGAGACAAAGAATAGTCCTACGTAGTAAGACAAAGAATAGTGCTGCGTTGTGGGAAAAAGAATAGTGCTGTGTAGTGAGACAAAGAATATTACTGTGTAGATAGACAAAGAATAGTGCTGTGTAGTGAGACAAAGAATAGTGCTGTGCAGTGAGACAAAGAATAGTGCTGTGTAGTGAGACAAAGAATAGTGCTGTGCAGTGAGACAAAGAATAGTGCTGTGTAGTGAGACAAAGAATAGTGCTGTGTAGTGAGACAAAGAATAGTGCTGTGTAGTGAGACAAAGAATAGTGCTGTGTAGTGAGACAAAGAATAGTGCTGTGTAGTGAGACAAAGAATAGTGCTGTGTAATGAGACAAAGAATAGTGCTGTGTAATGAGACAAAGAATAGTGCTGTAGTGAGACAAAGAGACAAACAAAGAATAGTGCTGTGTGTAATGAGACAAAGAATAGTGCTGTGTGTAGTGAGACAAAGAATAGTGCTGTGTATGTGAGACAAAGAATAGTGCTGTGATGTAGACAGACAAAGAATAGTGCTATGATGTAATGAGACAAAGAATAGTGCTGTGTAATGAGACAAAGAATAGTGCTCTGTAGTGAGACAAAGAATAGTGCTGTGTAGTGAGCCAAGGAATAGTGCTGTGCAGTGAGACAAAGAATAGTGCTGTGTAATGAGACAAAGAATAGTGCTGTGTAGTGAGACAAAGAATAGTGCTGTGTAGTGAGACAAAGAATAGTGCTGTGTGAGTGAGACAAAGAATAGTGCTGTGTAGTGAGACAAAGAATAGTGCTGTGTAGTGAGACAAAAAGAATAGTGCTGTGTGTGAGACAAAGAATAGTGCTGTGTAGTGAAAGAATAGACAAAAAGAATAGTGCTGTGTAGTGAGACAAAGAATAGTGCTGTGCAGTGAGACAAAGAATAGTGCTGTGTAGTGAGACAAAGAATAGTGCTGTGTAGTGAAACAAAGAATAGTGCTGTGTAATGAGACAAAGAATAGTGCTGTGTAATGAGACAAAGAATAGTGCTGTGTAGTGAGAGAAAGAATAGTGCTGTGTAGTGAAACAAAGAATAGTGCTGTGTAATGAGACAAAGAATAGTGCTATGATGTAATAAGACAAAGAATAGTGCTGTGTAGTGAGCCAAAGAATAGTGCTATGATGTAATGAACCAAAGAATAGTGCTGTGTAGTGAGACAAAGAATAGTGCTATGATGTAATGAGACAAAGAATAGTGCTGTGTAGTGAGACAAAGAATAGTGCTGTGTAGTGAGACAAAGAAAAGTGCTGTGTAGTGAGACAAAGAATAGTGCTGTGTAGTGAGACAAAGAATAGTGTCTGTAATGAGACAAAAGAATGTGCTGTGTGAGACAAAGAATAGTGCTCTGTAATGAGACAAAGAATAGTGCTGTGTAGTGAGACAAAGAATAGTGCTGTGTACTGAGACAAAGAATAGTGTTGTGTAGTGAGACAAAGAATAGTGCTGTGTAGTGAGACAAAGAATAGTGCTGTGTAGTGAGACAAAGAATAGTGCTGTGTAGTGAGACAAAGAATAGTGCTGTGTAGTGAGACAAAGAATAGTGCTGTGTAGTGAGACAAAGAATAGTGCTGTGTAGTGAGACAAAGAATAGTGCTGTGTAGTGAGACAAAGAATAGTGCTGTGTAGTGAGACAAAGAATAGTGCTGTGTAGTGAGACAAAGAATAGTGCTGTGTAGTGAGACAAAGAATAGTGCTGTGTAATGAGACAAAGAATAGTGCTGTGTAGTGAGACAAAGAATAGTGCTGTGTAGTGAGACAAAGAATAGTGCTGTGTAGTGAGACAAAGAATAGTGCTGTGTAGTGAGACAAAGAATAGTGCTGTGTAGTGAGACAAAGAATAGTGCTGTGTAGTGAGACAAAGAATAGTGCTGTGTAGTGAGACAAAGAATAGTGCTGTGTAGTGAGACAAAGAATAGTGCTGTGTAGTGAGACAAAGAATAGTGCTGTGCAGTGAGACAAAGAATAGTGCTGTGATTAGTGAGACAAAGAATAGTGCTGTGTAGTGAGACAAAGAATAGTGCTGTGTAGTGAGACAAAGAATAGTGCTGTGTAGTGAAACAAAGAATAGTGCTGTGTAATGAGACAAAGAATAGTGCTGTGTAATGAGACAAAGAATAGTGCTGTGTAGTGAGAGAAAGAATAGTGCTGTGTAGTGAAACAAAGAATAGTGCTGTGTGTAATGAGACAAAGAATACAAAAAAGAATAGTGCTGTGTAGTGAGACAAAGAATAGTGCTGTGTAATGAGACAAAGAATAGTGCTGTGTGTAGTGAGACAAAGAATAGTGCTGTGTAGTGAGACAAAGAATAGTGCTGTGAGACAAAGAATAGTGCTGTGTAGTGAGACAAAGAATAGTGCTGTGTGTGTGAGACAAAGAATAGTGCTGTGTAGTGAGACAAAGAATAGTGCTGTGTAGTGAGACAAAAAGAATAGTGCTGTGTAGTGAGACAAAGAATAGTGTGCTGTGTGAGACAAAGAATAGTGTTGTGTAGTGAGACAAAGAATAGTGCTGTGTAGTGTAACAAAGAATAGTGCTGTGTAGTGAGACAAAGAATAGTGCTGTGTAGTGAGACAAAGAATAGTGCTGTGTAGTGAGACAAAGAATAGTGCTGTGTAGTGAGACAAGGAATAGTGCTGTGTAGTGAGACAAAGAATAGTGCTATGATGTAATGAGACAAAGAATAGTGCTGTGTAATGAGACAAAGAATAGTGCTCTGTAGTGAGACAAAGAATAGTGCTGTGTAGTGAGCCAAGGAATAGTGCTGTGCAGTGAGACAAAGAATAGTGCTGTGTAGTGAGACAAAGAATAGTGCTGTGTGAGACAAAAATAATGTGCTGTGTAAAACCAAAGAATAGTGCTATGATGTAATGAGACAAAGAATAGTGCTGTGTAGTGAGACAAAGAATAGTCCTTCGTAGTAAGACAAAGAATAGTGCTGCGTTGTGGGAAAAAGAATAGTGCTGTGTAGTGAGACAAAGAATATTGCTGTGTAGTGAGACAAAGAATAGTGCTGTGTAGTGAGACAAAGAATAGTGCTGTGCAGTGAGACAAAGAATAGTGCTGTGCAGTGAGACAAAGAATATTGCTGTGCAGTGAGACAAAGAATAGTGCTGTGCAGTGAGACAAAGAATAGTGCTGTGCAGTGAGACAAAGAATAGTGTGTGCAGTGAGACAAAGAATAGTGCTGTGTAGTGAGACAAAGAATATTGCTGTGTAGTGAGACAAAGAATAGTGCTGTGTAGTGAGACAAAGAATAGTGCTGTGCAGTGAGACAAAGAATATTGCTGTGTAGTGAGACAAAGAATAGAGCTGTGCAATGAGACAAAGAATAGTGCTGCGCAGTGAGACAAAGAATATTGCTGTGCAGTGAGACAAAGAATAGTGCTGTGCAGTGAGACAAAGAATAGTGCTGTGCAGTGAGACAAAGAATAGTGTGTGCAGTGAGACAAAGAATAGTGCTGTGTAGTGAGACAGAGACTAGTGCTGTGTAGTGAGACAAAGAATAGTGCTGTGTAGTGAGACAAAGAATAGTGCTGTGTAATGAGACAAAGAATAGTGCTGTGTAATTAGACAAAGAATAGTGCTGTGTCGTGAGACAAAGAATAGTGCTGTGTAGTGAGACAAAGAATAGTTCTGTGCATTGAGACAAGGAATAGTGCTGTGTAGTGAGACAAAGAATAGTGCTGTGTACTGAGACAAGGAATAGTGCTGTGTAGTGAGACAAAGAATAGTGCTGTGTAGTGAGACAAAGAATAGTCCTACGTAGTAAGACAAAGAATAGTGCTGCGTTGTGGGAAAAAGAATAGTGCTGTGTAGTGAGACAAAGAATAGTTCTGTGCATTGAGACAAGGAATAGTGCTGTGTAGTGAGACAAAGAATAGTTCTGTGCATTGAGACAAGGAATAGTGCTCTGTAGTGAGACAAAGAATAGTGCTGTGTCGTGAGACAAAGAATAGTGCCGTTTAGTGAGACAAAGAATAGTGCTGTGTCGTGAGACAAAGAATAGTGCTGTGTAGTGAGACAAAGAATAGTGCTGTGTAGTGAGACAAGGAATAGTGCTGTGTAGTGAGACAAAGAATAGTGTTGTGTAGTGAGACAAAGAATATTACTGTGTAGTGAGACAAAGAATAGTGCTGTGTAATGAGACAAAGAATAGTGCTGTGTAGTGAGACAAAGAATAGTGCTGTGTAGTGAGACAAAGAATAGTGCTGTGTAGTGAGACAAAGAATAGTGCTGTGTAGTGAGACAAAGAATAGTGCTGTGTAGTGAGACAAAGAATAGTGCTGTGTAGTGAGACAAAGAATAGTGCTGTGATGTAGTGAGACAAAGAATAGTGCTGTGTAGTGAGACAAAGAATAGTGCTGTGCAGTGAGACAAAGAATAGTGCTGTGTAGTGAGACAAAGAATAGTGCTGTGCAGTGAGACAAAGAATAGTGCTGTGTAGTGAGACAAAGAATAGTGCTGTGTAGTGAGACAAAGAATAGTGCTGTGTAATGAGACAAAGAATAGTGCTGTGTAGTGAGACAGAGAATAGTGCTGTGTAGTGAGACAAAGAATAGTGCTGTGTAGTGAGACAAAGAATAGTGCTGTGTAGTGAGACAAATAATAGTGCTGTGTAGTAAGACAAAGAATAGTGCTGTGTAGTGAGAGCAAGAATAGTGCTGTAGTGAGAGAAAGAGTAGTGCTGTGTTGTGAGACAAAGAAAATTGTTGTGTAGTGAGGCAAAGAATAGTGCTGTGTAGTGAGACAAAGAATATTGCTGTGTAGTGAGACAAAGACTAGTGCTGTGCAGTGAGACAAAGAATATTGCTGTGTAATGAGACAAAGAATAGTGCTGTGTAGTGAGACAGAGACTAGTGCTGTGTAGTGAGACAAAGAATATTGCTGTGTAGTGAGACAAAGAATATTGCTGTGTAGTGAGACAAATAATAGTGCTGTGTAGTGAGACAAAGAATAGTGCTGTGTAGTGAGAGGAAGAATAGTGCTGTGTAGTGAGAGAAAGAGTAGTGCTGTGTAGTGAGACAGAGAATAGTGCTGTGTTGTGAGACAAAGAAAATTGTTGTGTAGTGAGGCAAAGAATAGTGCTGTGCACTGAGACAAAGAATAGTGCTGTGGCATGAGAGAAGGAATAGTGATGTGCGATGAGACAAACAGTTGTGCTGTGTAGTGAGACAAAGAATAGTGCTGTGTAGTGAGACAAATAATAGTGCTATGCAGTGAGACAAAGAATAATGATGTGTAATGAGACAAAGAATAGTGCTGTGTAGTGAGACAAATAATAAATTCTCGCCTTTACATGTAAGAAGATTTGGCCGATATTTTATCAACAACTTTAGCATTATTCATTGTAGCTTCATCTACTTAAATTACTTTGGGAAGTAAGTTGTATTCTTACGGGTGTTACATATCAAGGATCCATAGGAATCATATTAATTTGCTGAAAGAACAACTTTTCATGACTAATAACTAACACAGTGCAATGTATTGAATGCTGAAGGAAGGGAGATAAATATATGCGTGGCAATGTATACTACCATGTTGGTTACCCAGCACACAAAAGTTTTTCACTGTATCGCAGATATCAAGGATGCAAATGTAAGAAAATTATTTCGTAGATTCATTCATCTAATTTGGACGTACGTAGCAGAATATTTCAGTAACCTTTTTTAGACTTGGCCTGAAGATCAAGATAGTTATTACTGGCTGGCATACTGATTTACTTGCTAACTGACTGTGTGACTGACTGACTAACTTACTAACTAACTGATTGAGTGACTGGCATGGCTGATTGTTGACGAACGGGCTGACGTTCTGAGTGACCGACTGACTGACTGACGAACGAACTAACGGTTTTATTGTCTGAGTATCTGACTGACTCACTGACTGAGTGACTGTATGACTGAATCTCAGGGTCATTACTAGTACTGTAACTTAAGAGTTTTTTTTGTAGATTATCATCGGTGGGCAACTCATATTCAAGAAGAGTTACAAGTCTTCAGGAATATACACCGAAGGAATTACAGTTCCATCAAAACCGTGCAGGGCTGTTGTATCAGTACAACTTTTAACCGATCACGGACAGTGCTTTCAAAGCTCTCTACATGCTAGGTATATCTATTTGTTATTTAATGGGCGAAAGGGCTGTATTGGGAAAACATTGTGATTCTTAGTCTGGAGAACAGACCGAGGCCACGGGCTGAGGGTCACATAGCGCTTAGTTTTTTCCAGTAAGGATCGATTTTGTGTTGGTAAAATGAAATGTTTGTCTTCATTTTGAATCTTCTCTTTTAATTAGACTAAGTGTCGTCCATAAACCGTTTGTAACTTCTCAAATATTCACAACAAGCGACTTGACAATACTAAAAACTGCTATGTGTTTCAAATGAAATTTTTGTGTCAAGTCGTCGAATTCAGTTCCAGTCGTATACATGTATGCTTAATTCTCCAAACTTGTGTTTTGTTTGAGAAGTTGCTTTCTAAATGAGGTCCATAAACTTTCTTTGCTAGACAAAAAATTTTTTAACCAATTTGCAACCTGAATCTCTATTATCTGCTAAAACTTTGGACAAAAAGATGTAAAACTCTTCACAACGGCTATTTTCAGAAAACTGAAGCATCAAAAACTTAACGGTATTCGGTTTCAGTGTATTTGTAAACTATATAGAAATTATATTAAAATCACCTGAAAGTACCTCACCTCTTCTCCATGTTTTTATCCAAATGAATTACTTCGGTCCTTTATCACATTATCGAATACGAGGCGTTTCAAACTTGTTTTATTTTGTCCTAATAATTTCGCTGGTATTTTTGTAAACTAACCCGTTGCCACAATGTAATGTTTTAAATCTCTTTCTTTTTCTGGGACAGTTTAAATGGCCACTTCAAAGATGACATAGCGTGGCTGCTATTGGTCCGTTTATAACAACTGGATGTCTTCTGTTGATTCTTCATGGTTGGACTCAAGTGAATGCAGATGTACTGCCAACGATGATGACGGGGGAAAAGCGATAGCAGTAAATGAAAATAAAGACGACAGAGTACTTAAACTATGTGTTTAGTCCATAAAAACGTAAAAAAAAAAAAAGAACTCGGCCAATATCCAGCCATTTTAACCTCACGCTTGATCAATAACGCATATGAATATATTTTATGCAGACCCATACGAATCTGGCAAGGGAAGACAGTACAAAAAATGCACTTCCGAGCCCGGAATTTGTCTAACGTATAAGTCGGTGGGCTTCCTTTTCCTTGTAATTCAGTTCATGAAGTGTTAACTTCAGCACTGATCACACAAGTATAACGTCAAAATCTGTTACACTTAAGAGTCTGAGCCAATGAGATAAAGAAAGCTATTAGTCAGCGTTCTCGTTGCTTTTGCGTCCGTCAATTTGATGCTAAAAGCACATCAGTATCAGTGT